CCCAGCAGATCTTGGAAAGACTGAGACATTTTCTCCTCTCCTATTAAGTTTGTCCATACAGATTTCAACCAGGCAGGACAAATAAAAAATATCCAAGGACAGAGGCATGTCCCTCACCTTTATACTACTAACAGTGCTGTCAAATATAGGACCTCAGTAAACATTTTTATAGTTGTCCTTGGGTGGCGGGGATTTCAAGAAGAGACAGTGACCAGAAAAGCTTTTAATTGCTTCTCCACCTCCAAGCCATGCAAGGAAGAGAGTGTTGCTGTCTTGCTGCCAGCAAGAGCCCTCTGCCCTGGGCACAGCATGCAGTAAACACTCCTGTAATGGATTTGGCCCTCTTCAGCCCCATGTTTACACAGCCAGCTTATGTTAAGAGATGAAAACATTTTTTCTCCCTTTGAAGGGAGCTCCCGGAAACAACCCACAACATCTTAGGGAGCCATCAAGCCCTCCACCCTCCCACCCAGCTCCTTTCACAGGCACAGACAATCTATTTACAGCATCTTGTATGAGAGGCAAATGCAAATCCAGCCCCACAGCAGGCTGGGGCCACACGCCTGCCCAAGGGAGAACTTGGTGCCTCTGCAGCAGAGGGGGGGAAGGAACAGATCACATTTTTTTGTCATGTTTTTTGGACTCCTGCTTCGGCAGCTTCAGGACCCAGGCTGGTAACTAGACCCAAGATGATTTCTCACCCACAGGTCAGCCAGAGGGGCCAAAGGCAGCTGCTGGGGTGATTTCCAGCAGAGCCAAATCTCCTGCCAGATACAGCCACCATCAAAGCATCAAACAGCCTCCTGAGGTTTGGAGCATGTGCTCCTCCAACTTCAGATGGAAGCAGCAGGGTTTGACCCAGGAGATAGCCTGGAGGCCAAAGCTAACAGCATCAACCAGAATCTGGGCTATCGTCAGAGCAGTTCATGTGCAAATACAGCTGCTTGCAGCAGCAAGCCCCAGCAGGGCCGAGCCCCCATGCAGGCAGCCCCACTGCCACAGGCCCAGACTTACCACCCCGATGCCTTCGAAAGCAAAGATTGCAGTGCCAAAAAACAGAGGGTAGGTCTTCCAGGCTGCTGCTAGAGGCAGGTGACTGGGATCAGGAATGTCCTGGAAAAAAGCCCATGCAGAGTTCAGGCACGGGGAGGCTGGGGAGGACCCGGCCCGCTCCCATCGCAGCCCCACGCTGCAGGGAGAGCTCTGCAGAGCTGAGGGCAGCTGTGCCAACACCCCACGGCGTGCCAACACCCCACGGCGTGCCAACACCCCCCTGCCCAGCTCCCTCCACCTGCCAAAACACGGGACACCGCAGAGATGACAGAGGGGAGCCCTGCGCACCTACCCTGACGATGTACTGGTAGATCACCACAAGGCTGACCAACATGGCCATGTTGGCCAGCATGGAGAAGATGGACAGGACCTTGAGGTTCTGGATGAACGTGAGCAGCACCACGAAAGGCAGGAGGGAAAGCATGTACAGCCGAGAGTCCATGGTGGGGGTCATGGCCACTGTCCTGTTGGGGCTGCAGTCGTTGGTGGTCCCGTTTGCTGCAGATACGACCTGGGGGAGCACAGGCAGCTTGGTGAACCCCATCACACAGGGTCAGAGAAACACACATCTTGGTAGCCCTGAGTGGGTCAGAACACGACCCCATCAGCTCACTTTCAAACACAACTAGTTGATTAAAAGCAACACAACAGGAGTTTTTGGGTAGTTTCAAGCAAATCCCTGTTACCTTGCTAGGAGCAGAGGTGGGACACGCCACAGCACCTGAGCTGAGACAGTGAAACCTGCCCTGCCCAAGCTCACCAAGTGTGCCGAAGGCAGAGGTTGGCTTCCACTACCCACATGGCCAGTTGAGAAGCCAGGAAAGAGGCATTAAGTGCTATTTCCTCAGAAGCCCTTTTCCTCTTGCTGCACCACTCAACATCACACTTCCCTTCAGTCACCCAGCACCCTGTTCCCGTGCAAGGCCATCTGGAAGCTACTGCTGGCCCCCAGCTTCACTTTCTTTGCAGGAAATCTTCCTTCCCTGGGGGTCTTTCAATCCAAAGGCACACCAAGCCATGTGCTCACCTGTAAACACCATTCTGCCCCAGGAACCAGGTGGCTGAGCCATCCCTCCCAAGACCATGAGGATCACCAATATGAGCACGACAAAGCTGGTCGAGGTACCAGCTGCTGCCTGGCCAGTGCAGCACAGGGCTGCCTGAAGACTATTTTAACCTGCTGCAGAGCAAGGCCTGCCCCAGAGGAGAGGCAAAAGAGCTCCTGCACAAATCAGCTCTGTGGGAGAGGGCAGCACAGAGCCACGGCACCCACGGTGGGGCACACTCCAGCCCCAGCCTGCCCAGCCTCTCTGCACCTTGCTCCAAAGCCATTTTCCAAACCAGAGCTGTGCCCAGCTCAGCAGCACCTCACCCAAGGTACCACCAGCACCATTGCTGTCTATCAAACACACCCCCACCACAAAAAGAAGCAAGTAACACTCCTCTCTCCCCACCCTAAAAACTCCATGCCTAAAGCCACCTCTGAAGCTGATGGGCACCAGGGCAGAGCTGCTGAAGGGCACAGCCATGGTGGCAGCAGTGACAGCTCTGCTGCAAGAGTGCCTGCAGGGCACTGAGCCAGAGGAGACTGGAACAGGGACTCGTTATGCCCAGTTTCTTACAGCATGGGAGACAGCCAGGAGGTTCAGGGTTTCTGTTTATTTACTCCCGAAGTCTGGCACAAGGAAACTCTTTCCCT